TTTTAGTTTTTGATCTTTTTTAAAAAAAAAAAAAAAAAAAAAAACTCTACTCAAAAGTTCATTCTACTCAGAAAGTGTCCTTTTTCTTTACAATGTACCTAGATCTGTTGGTGGGTTTAAAATAGGTCTACACAGTTTGAGGTGGCATGATATGCATTGCTGAATTTTTCTGTTACTAATGGATGCATCTTTCCCCCCTGCCTTGTTTTCTGCATCCCATAATCAAACTTATTTTGACCCAATAGAGAGTACAGATGTTAGGTTTACTATTGTGTGGTAAAAGAATAGGATAACACAACTTACTATTTCAACTGTTATATTTCTTGTTTTTCTTACACATTTGCCAATAAACTACAACTATTACTATTAACTGGGACATGGACCTTGAGACCAAATAGAGATTTTCATTGTATCCTTATGACTTTATGGAAGACTAAGGGGTCTATTCACGAAGCAGCCGAAGGATCTGACCGTAGCTTCGGCTGATCCTTCAGCTAGCTTCGGCCCCAGGACTCCTTCGGTTCAGTAGAACTGAAGGTCTGCTGTATGGGCTATTCACTATAGCCCGTACAGCACCCGAAGTCGGGCGGGTGTCTCAGTCGAGCCGAAGGAATATGCTTCGGCCCGACTGAGCCAAGGTGAAAGCCGATGTTGGCCCGAGCGGCTTTCTGACGGCTGGCTCCGGCCACTTGCAGAGAGATCAGCGTCCCTGGTTACCAGCTAACCAGCGACACTGATCTCCAGACATCCTAACTCTCCCCGGCGCTCCGGGAGTCTCTCGCTCCCAGCCGACCAGGAGAGAAACACTGCTTTTTCTTTTTTATTCTGACACGGAGCCGTTGGCTGGCGTCACAATAAAATATATATATATATATATTTTTCACCATAGGAATGCCTTGCTAGATTGCTATTGGCTATTTCAATTTGCAATAGCCAATAGCAAACGAGCTATACCACCCGCCCACTGCTGCAGTTCTCCATCAGGTCCCCACTAGTGATTGACAGCAGCAGAAGGCGGGTGCAGTAGCTAATTTGCAATAGCCAATAGGAATCTAGCAATGCATTCCTATGGCGAAAATGTTTTTTTTTTTTCCCTTTTTTTGACGGCAGCAGAACTGCCTGTCACTGCTAGCTCCGCACAATCGTTTTCTATTTATTTTTTTGTACTTTGTAAACTTTTTCTGTTCTGCTCGGTACCACAGAGGGACCGAGTAGAACACCTGAGACGAATGCCGCTTCGTGGCATTGGGCTATTCACTCACCGCTGTTCGGCATCTATAAGAACAGACCGAACCGCAGCGAGTAGCCTGCCGGAGGTTCAGCTTAGCCGATCCAGATGTTGGATCGGCTGTGTCGAACTCCTTCTGCACTTCGGGTCGGCCTAACATGCTGAACATGTTCGGCCGACCCGAAGCCACGCAAAGCCACCCGGTGTACGGCTGATTTCAGCCGATATATGGCTGAAATCAGCCGTACCAGCCTGAAGTGAATAGCCGAACAGCGTTCGGATCACTTTGCTAAGGTCTGTCATTCACTCGGCTGCCTACAGCAGCTTTGTGAATAGACCCCTAAGGTTTTTGGCCTTGGGCACCTTTCTGTTATCAAAATTCCTCTTCAAATAACAAAATTCTAAAGTAGAATATTAGGCTATAAGTCCATGAGATGAAACTGCATTGCAGCTGGGTCATATAGGAAGAAGGATCTGAAGCGTGCAAGTAGGTCAACAGCTAAATGGCTTAAGTAATGGCATGGCCTCAATTCAGTTGATGTTGTGACAGGACCTGAAAAGAACTGGTAATGCTCAACAGCCTGCAAATGTTGCTGAGCTAATGCAGTTCTGCATAGAGCTATAAACCTAAATTCCTTCAAAGTGGTGTGGGGTCAGTGGCATTTAGTTGTTTTAGTGACTAAAGGTATATATAACTTATTACTGACCTTAAAGGATAAATTACAATTTTACACCTGTGAGTGCAGATTTACGTATTCAAATGAATTGAAATGTTTGTTATAAATACTACCATATAACCAGCATGTTAGCAAGAATGCACTGTGACTTTAATCCTGTAACACTAACTTTGAAGACTGTGTTATACACACCGCATGCTGAACTTTAAATGGCTATATCAACCCACTATTGGGTCACCAGGGAACTATTCTACTCACCTCAGTTAAGGGGCATTTAACAGTAATAGTAAAAAGTAACAGAGGAGTCACATGCAAGCAAAAACACTATTTATAATTCATTGTACATGATTGGTATTCACTTTGCTAAGTAAACAGCCCCTTTTCCTATACCCCAATGCTTTTTAAAGCTGCCTTGTCTGTATACCATATCTCTACTGCCATGGCACACCCTCAGCACTGCTATGATTGCTGCCTAATCTTGTACATATCACATGATCACTTTCCATCTCCATCACTGTACATGAATTAAAGGCCACTGATCAGTTCTGCTGAGAATTTCCTTTAAACTTGTGCAACATTTCAAAGTATGGATGTGGCCAGGAGCCCTGTGTTTCTGGAACGAGAGAAAATTGGCCACCTGAGATGAGATTCTGACCCTGACTAATGCTGAGAAAAGCACTCAGGTTACTGGTGCAATTATCCTATCATTGTACTAGAGTTAAAAGCTTTTCACATAAAAACATTTACTCCTTAGTAAATGCATGAAAGACACACTACTGTAGGTGCATAGTCGGGTGTGTGGAGTGTCTGTGTCTTTGCTAAGATCATGAGAGGAGAAGTCTAAAATTCTGAAGGAACTCATATGTTTATTTGTACTATTAAACTATTCTGGGTATACCCCGTTGGACTTGTCATCCATCTCTGGGACTGTAATTTTCAATAAAAGGTTGCACTCTCTGAAAAAGAACCAATGTTGCCTGGAACTTGCTTGAAAGTTGCGTTCTATACTGTGTTTTTACATTGTATATTTTACATACATTCCACAGCACTTTAATATGCAGGTATTGTAATTAAAAAAAAACAAAATTACAACATATGCACCATGCAAAGCTGATGTACACATTTTTAGGTCTAGTTTTCACTTCATTGGATAGCATACCTCTCTAGCCTTCAAGTTGCAAGAGATCACTAGTGCTACCTGATATGTTGATGTAATCTTATTTTGGGCCTTGACTCCTGTGAAGAAATCTTGATCTTAGCATATCACTGCATGGAAACATGGAGTGAAATAAGGTTGTCTTTGTATATTTTATATAAAAAAGAACCCTATCGTTAGCTATACATTTTCCATATAACACTAATTACATTGGCAACCTACTGTGTCTCACTGCACGTTATTTATTGTGTGAAATGATGCAGATTTCCGAACTCCCTAATGTTTCTTTGTTTTTGCAGCTTACATTCCTACACCGATCTACTTCGGGGCTGTTATTGATACAACTTGCATGCTTTGGCAGCAGGACTGTGGAGTGCAAGGCTCCTGCTGGGAATACAACGTGACATCATTTCGTTTCGTTTATTTTGGACTGGCAGCTGGTTTGAAATTCTTAGGATTCATTTTTATATTTCTGGCCTGGTATTCCATTAAACACAAAGAAGACCAGTTGCAGAGGAGAAGGTGGCGGGCCTCCCCAATAAGCACAGTCAGTGAGATGATCGGCAACGCGAGAGCTGAGCCAAATTATGAACGGGCCAGATCCTGCCCCTCCTTTGGCGCCAGGGAAGAGCCAAATGAAGACAGTAGCATAGACAAAGGAATCCAACACATAGCACAAACCTATCCTGGGCCTTTCCTGGAAGCAATAAATTCATCCTTCGAGAATTCTCAAGAAGAGACCCCAGCTGATGCATAGTTTGGATAGTCAGAGTCCATTTTCCTGACCAAGTTTAGTATGGCGCCTTGTGCAACACGTGCCTTTTATATGAACTAAATACAAATGGATGAATGATAACATATTTTAATCAGTAGCAACAGGATTGTTGGGGGCTGGTTACCTCAGCAAAATTAATTTTCTCAATTTTTTTTTGTAAGTGGTAAATCTGTGCTCTACCCCTACATTATGCATCTGTACTTGATTAAATGATTCCTAAAGGAGTAAAAATACTGAAATATGGAAGCAGCACATTTGGAATTGAAAGGTCATTGCTCTATGACCTTTGCATATTGGTTGTGAGATTTGGAATATAAAGTTTACCAGTTAGTCATTTTAAAGTGAAAGTCCTGTCTTCTGAAAGTGGTTTCATTCTTTTTTTTTTTGCTTGGAGCTTGAGTGAAAGCAGTTACCTACCCAATATTCCCTGTCTTAAGAAAGAGATCATCAATAGCATTAGAAGCATTGGAGAGGCTAATGCTAGGTATACAGGGCTTAGTTTAAAAGTCGGAAGCCTCAAGTTGTTAGTTTTAAACTGAATCCAGCATCCAAGGGCTCCACAGAGGAGGCTTTTTGTAACGCACAATAGTTATAGCAGATAGGACTGCAGTTTAAAAAAAAGGTTGGCAGATTCACTATGGCTAAGACAATCTTACACTGAATGGGACACAAATGATTGCACTGTGGGACCTTAGCAGACTACCAAGCATGTAGAATAGAAAGTGGATATTTAGTGTGATTCTTTACTCATATATACTGATAAAGGCAGAAAGAACAGTAATTAGATGACTTCATGCTGTGCAACCCTATAGTAATTGGAAATTGTTTTTCATGCAATTAGTGAATGTCCCCATCTGTCTGTGTATGCTGTCACCTCACCTATTTCATCTTTAGAATCTTTTCTGAATATGTTAAAAGTTGAGTCGCCCAGACCGGAATCCATGACAGTGATGGATGTTTAACGTATGGCCTATTTTGTAGATACGTCTCATTGGTAGTGGTGTAGTTCATGATTTATAGAGAGAAATTGTTAATAACTGCAGGCAATCACCATTAGTCCGCTCAAGCCAATGGTTTTTCCCCAAATACAGGTGGAAGATACTCTCTGACTGCAAGGAGAAGATATAAGGACATTAACTCTGTAAAAGGAGTTCTGTTTCAAATGGCAAGATCAGTGATCTCTTCCAAGTGTGCTGTTTCGTATTCACCTGTGTGCTATCAAGTACAGAAGCCATTCGATTGAAAGTAACTATTTGTCAACACACAGCCTTCCAGAAATGGCACAGCTGGCAGTCTTCAGCTTCTAGATGGCCAGGTTGGATACGTTGTGCCAACAACAGGGGATCAACAGGCTGCATTATATATCTGAATGTTTGTCATTGATGCCCGGTGTGCTACATGTAATTAGAAGATACTGTACATGATATGTACATGTATATTAATATGAACTTTACTGTGAGGTATGCTGTAAAGCACAATTGAATTAGCCTAAACTATGCAACTACACTGTGGAGAATTGCATTGGAAGTGTGACAGACATCATACTCATAAATATGCAAGCCATACTAACATCATCTATCAGGCAAGAGTACATAAAACAATAAACTTTTACTGTAGGCATTGATATAGAAACCATTAGCATAGGGTTTTATAAGTACATACTATTTGCTTGGAAGTACATGAACATCTGAATTACTGCATAGGCAGTATACAAAGGCTTAGTTTTAATTTTTTTGTTACTATATGATAACTTTTGTTATTGTTTTTAGTACTCATATACAGGCAGAGGTTTTTAATTTTGTTTGATCAACTTTTTATAAGTGGGTATAGGTGCAAATTGAGTTCAGTATTTACAAGGCCTAGACTAACATATTCACTTCTTTTTCTGAATATGATACATTTTAATTTCCTATGATATATTATAAAATACTTATTTGTCATGCCTTTCTCCAGTGTGCAAAGAAACCCTACTCCCCAGAGTGCACAATGACCCTCCCAAGAGCAGGAAGAATACAGAGTAGGATCCGGACCAGTGTTTTGCACTTCTCTCAGGCCAGATACTTTTCATATTTTTCATGTCAAGCTCTGTTTTTCCTCTCCCTACTGTTGTCATCTACAGATAAACTGTTAGGATGCCTGTAACAGTTTACTTCTCTAGCACTTTGCTTTGAGTTTTTAGCCGTTGCACTAGGTAAGAGACCCAAAGCATGAGTCTGGGTGACAACATCATACCTGAAATGTTAGTGCTAGGGATGCACCGATACCAAGTATTTTGGTGAGTACTCGTACTCGCCCAAATGCTCCGATACCTAGCACGAGTACTTCCTGTATCAGGAAGCTAGCAAATCCGGAAAGCCAGGCACCGTGTAATGACGCAGCGCCCGGCGTCATGCTCCCTCGTCATCTCATGAATCATAATATTAAGAAAGTGACCTTAAAGCATTAGTTTGTATTGCTTTAGAAAAAATTTGACCTGTCCCTTTAAGAAAAAGTATCGGTAATTGGTATCTGCGAGTACTTGATCAAAAGTATCGGTACTCGTACTCGGTCTTAAAAAAGTGGTATCGGTGCATCCCTAGTTAGTGCCATATTAGGTCTGTTCTGATCCAAGAATGTCTCATTAGTCACAGTAGACTTTTTAAAAGTAGGTAGAGCTAATCACTGTTCAGAAAATGGTGACCAGAGCAAAGCACTGTTTTTGTGCAAATTACTATAACTATAGCAACCAATCAATACTGACATTGTTCTGAGTTGAGAAAGAGGGCCACCTTTTAGCGACGTTTCTTTATCACCTATTTTTCTTTGTACTGGATTTTCAAAATGACAAATGCAAAAATGTATAGGTTGGATGAAAGGTTTAGTGTAGAATAACACTTTTGGTAGTTAAGTAGGTCTACACATCAGACCTAAAAGGGGAAAAATTAGGAGGGGCAGAGGGATTTGTTCCTCCATATATAGGGGAGGGTTGGAAGCTATGGGTTACTGCACTTTTCCCTTTGCCCTATGATCTTTGCATTGTTTCTTAAAGCATATTTACATCCCAGATTAAAAATGTAAGAAAATGCAGCTTACCAGTCCTTAGATGTGGTGGCTGCATTAGTATATTTTTAGGCTTTTTTAACACTTGTGATCCTGCCAGTAATACACTTCCTGTCCTAGGATGATAAAACTCACTCAGCATACTGTACTTAAAAAGAAACAGCATTGTCACTATAAGACAGGAAGTGTTTTAGCACTACAGAACACCCCACATCTTCTCATCCCCATAACATCGGTAGAGGCGTTTTTGTGCTGTCTACAGACATTTGTGGCCACACAGTTCTGTAAATCAGGAATTAAATTGATACATCTTGTGTATGTGGCCAGCCATTCATTTACTAATGTTGAAACACAATAAAACAGGCAGTAGGCATCCGATCTATTAACAAGTCACAATATAGTGGGCCTTCACCTTTATAATTTTAAACTAAATCTTTCTTGGTTAATGAAAAAGAAAATCTGGTTGGTTGGTTTGACAGCAACTCTTTTTTGTACCAGGTATCATAGCTTCAGTTTTAATAATCTGATCCATTTTTTTAATTATCTGACAGCATTTCAGAGGGAGGATCGGGTGTCATATTTTAGGGCTTTTTTAGCAAACCTTTTCTATATATAGAGGCTCTCAGGAACCTTGGAGTGAAACTTCAGGTTCTAATCCTTCCCCATCCTATCCAAAACTAGGAAAAATATTTTTGGCTTTAATAATCAATTGCTGGAGAATCTTAAAAGTCATAATTTTTTAGTTATTTAAATTAAGAGCAATTACTTGAACTCAGCTTTTCAGACACTAAAACGTTCTATGATTTTCTCCAAGCCAAACAAGCAGTGTTGCTGCAAGGATGTAAAGTTTCAAAATCTTTTTCGTATTCTAATGGAAAAGAAAGGATATTAAACACACAAAAAAGAAAAAGATTCCCCTTCACTTCCTGTCCCAGAGACAGAGCAGAAAGTGAAAGGAGATCTCTAAAAAGGAAAATAAACTGATGTCTCTATTAGAAGATTTCCAACCTACTCCTGTAACGTTATACTACAAGGTTTTGGATTTTCCATCAAATTCTCTCTTCGGGAAAAAGGTTGATCTCCCCAATTGGCACACAGCTATAAAAACCTGAACGAGGGTTTAATTATTTTTCTGTAGTCAAAAATAAAAAAAGGGTTTGACTATACTTAAAACTTAAATGAAATTAAATTGCACTTGAGTTGATCCGTTAAGAAACTACGGAATGCATTGTTTACTGTTTATTGCCAAATAATGCAATTATCACAAGATCATTGTCCCTCTTAAGATTATACTTGTTGGGCTATAAATGCAGAAATGCTTTTTCCTCTGCAACAAATATTAGAGGATTGGCTGAAAATATCAAACCTGGTGGATGATGATAATTACTTTTTATCTATTTTTCCAAAATGATGAATTATTGTAATTGCTATCACTTGCATTATTTAATTGTCATCAAAAGGTACCAAAAACCATAGAAAAACCAAATAAACCTCGTTGTATGGTAATATTTAATGTTAACAACAAATACCTGACAACAAAGGAATATTATTTTTAAAGAGATAATCGTGCATCCAGTTTGAGATACAGATACGCTTACAGATATGCAGATAAAAACTGAGACTGTGCAATAACATCTAATCTAAGGAAGCAGATAGTGTGAATACAATCAGGTTATGTATGAATACTTTTTGTACTCATCACATATTAAAAGAAAAAAATAGGATAAGGCATGGTTACTGAAAAATGTTGCATGAACAAACATGTATTGTGCTCATTTATTCATTAGAATTAAGTCATCACACTCTAAGTTAGATGTACATGTGATAAATAGATCGGCTATGTTATTTATTAGTATTTCTCATGCTCCAGTGTTAATATAGTTCTCTATTTTGTGTAATATATAGGCTAAGAGATATAGAACATATCACTTAACAAATAGTAAATAAGAGCAAAAATAAATTGTAATATATCCTGTCAGAATTAGCCATCTGCAGAGCTTTATGCTAAAGTAAGAGCAATATATTAAAACTTTGAAA